ACACTCTTGCTTCAAAGCTTTGAGTGCTACACAACCCTTACAATTGAAACCTATTCCAAGGCACTTATCACAATGATAATTGCTTGGAGTACAATAAACAAATCTATACAGATTACAAAATTGATCTTCTAATCAATCAGCAGGGATACCTTCAAAAACCGCAGCTCTGTTGAATATATAGCAGCTGCAACTTCAGTTAGGGTTTCCAAAAACCTAGGGTTGATTCCGTTTGACCTAAAGACCAGGTCACAGTACTTTGTTGATCAGGTTAGGATTGAGCTAGGTTACTCCTCAGAAAACGCAGGATTCTGTTTAGGAAGGACTGAGTTATTTCCTGAAAAAACTCAGACTTATCCAATCCTGTAATCCTGCTAGTTCAGAACAGGATGTCATAACATCTGTTATGACATCTGAGAAAAACCTGTCTACTGATTAGCAAAATGTGATCATTTTGCAAACATGCTCAGATACACACTTATAAACATCAGTATTGGAGTTACAATATTTTTTCCTGGAGTTACAATATTTTTCTGCACATGTACCTAAAGAGTTAGTACAACCTGAACTAGAATGTTATGACATCAGTCATGACATTCACACATACACTTGGAATTTACCAAAAATGCAAGCCAATACCTAAACACCTACATTTTTGATTTAACAATATTGTGTAGGTTTTGTCATCATCAAAAAGAGGGAGTATGTGAGATCAAGATTCATGTTTTCATGATGTCAAAACCTCTCCTATCCTCAATGACATGTGTGATACATAAGATATACTTGGGACAAAGTATGGGATGCAAGCTTGGATGAAAATAGCCTTTTGGCAAGAAAAATGAAGCCTGCATCGATGCAAACTAGCTCCGGTCGACTCAAAGCTTTGTGCTTCTCTCGGGTTGTATTGCATCGACCCCTTGGTCGACTCAACCTGATGGTCAAGAAAATTGAAGGTTGCATCGATGCAACCCCCTGGTGCGGTAGACATATTCAAGCTGTTTGGCTCATCTCCTAGGCGCGGGTTGTGTTGCACCGACCCAAGCCTCTGGAGCGGTCGACCGCTCACTTAACATACTCAAAATTTTGTTTGTCTTATTTTCTTTCTTTCTCAAATATTCTTTGTTTTACTAACACATATAAATAGAGTTTTGATTCCTTTTGAGCAGTGAACAAGAATTAGTGAAAGATACACATAGTGCTCAGCATCTTCATCCTCTCTTCTCAAAAATCAACATCTACACATAATCATGGTTGTTGATTCAAGAATAGTGTTGTGGTGATGACGTTCAAATCAAAGATTCAATTCAAATTTAGATTGAGCAATTGTGGGTTGTTCTTGAATAAAATCGTTTGGATTTTCTCCCCCAAGATTCCAATTGGTGTGGGGGTTTTTGCACAAGTCTTTGCTTCATCGAATTCAGTCGACTGAAAGGATTAAGAAACAGTGGGTTTTCTTAATCAAGAAGAGATAACTGGAGGATTGTGAAGGAAGATTTGGAGTCAAATTTCTTACGATCAAAATCATCCGAGTGAAAGTATTGCAGAACAAGAGTTCGTGAAAATCAAGTAGCAGTAACCAGAGGTTTGTTCGAAGAATTTGGAACTTGGTTTTGCTCCAACCAAGGAAAGGGAAGAAGACTGTTACATCAGCAACATTGGTTTGTTTGTATTGTGAACTATCTCTTCTATTATAACATTTGCATCTTAATATCAAATATCTCTATTCTAGATTCTAAAATTGGGGGCATTCGTACCCTACACGAGGACGACAAGGGAAACTGCCTTAACAAATCGTGTGTTCTTCTTATTTTTCTTTACTTCCATACTTGAATACCACAATTTATGGGAATTAAATTGTCGAATTTACTTGTACCGAAATTGTGGTGTGTTGAGATCATTTCACAAAATTGGTAACAATCTGTTTGATTGATACCTAAGAAAACTCACCACTATAATTTAGTAAAATCAAACCTAAGGTGCTTTACACATAAGGTGTTTGACAAATTAATTCATCCACAAATTATTCATTGTGTTTAGCTTTATCTTAATCAACTTATTGGAAGTAATTCATACTCATTGAGGATGTTTAAGTGATTGACCAATTGAGTAAAATGTAATGATTCTTACTTTGTCATCCTATCCCATACGGTTATTCATATTCAATCTTTTCAATAGAGGATCGTTTAGACGATTGGAGATTCCGGAAGCTTTCGCATATATTTCTGAAAAACAATTTTAAAAAGCGCAAATATTTTTTTAAACGATCTATTCAACCCCCCTTCTAGATCGATCACATCTTCTAACAGCCTACATTGTTTATCATATGCAGGAGACCAACATTCTTGGTAACTCAATTCTATTATGTTTAATTGTTTATTTGTATTGAATATGTATGAAAGCATGAAAATGATCGAGGCATTTTTGTATTTGAGCATAACCACTTTCCGAAATTATTTTATCCCGTGATTATGCGAGAATTTGTTAGCCCCTTTGAGCCTTAATGTCATGATCCATATTTGTACAGAAAATATTGAACTTGTAAATAACTAACTAGTTCTTCATTGATTTTTTTATGGATCTTGAATTTGTTTCTTGAAACACTTGACCCTTCAAATTTACTTTATGGTTTGTTTTGTTTTCTTTGCCTTAGAAAGTTAGAGAGCATTCGTACTTCATGTTAGGTTGTATTTAAGTTAGGGAGATCACTTGTTTGGTTGCTCCTGTGTTATTTACTTTGTGGATTGAAAAGAAATAAGTGATTAGAAAAAGAAAATGAAAAAAAATGTGTTTGAATAAAATCAAGGTTGTACCGATAAGTAAATTGAGAGGGTGAATAAAAATAATTTTTGATTGTTTGAATTTGTGTGATTAAATGCTCCCATCGATTTAGGAAATTTTGTTTAGTTAGCCTTACGATCATTCCTTCTTTAATAACCAAGTCCAATTATAACCCTTGAAAAGTCCTCTTGATTCTTGCTTTTATACTGTTCAATATGAGTTTTTTCCGATGAATGTATAATTTAACTTGTTGTTAACTTGATTGTTTGGTGTGAGTGAAAACACCCCATTGTTTTTGTTATTCATCTACCGATTAATTGTGCCCTAGGTGTGATTCATTTTTTAGCAGTGTATTGTTTTAGAATCTTTGACATGTATTTTGTATTTAGGAGTTGTTTCGTTTCCGTGCTATCATTATAGGATTGTGGTAAGTATTTACTTTGTTTATGCGTTTTTGTTTGAACCATACATTTATTTTCCATTTTAAAACTTGTTGATTCACAAATCTTTGGTTGATTACTTTTGTTCTTTGAGTTGTTTGACTTTGTTTGAGGATAAACAATGATTAAAGTGGAGAGAGTTTGATGAGATCTAAATTGCTGTGAATTTGAGTGTGAATAATTAACACTCATCGGCTTAATTTATTTTCTTTTTATCAATAAACCTCAACTTTAGTGTATATTCAGTATAGTTTACGTTATAGTGTATATATAACGTTATCGTGTAAGTACCATTGAGTTTAATTTTTTTTATCTCATTTTTGTAGGTATTCAAGCATTGATATTTAGTCATGGTTAGATAGAGCATTGAATAAGCTTTACAATGCTTCAAAGGATCTATTGGCTGCAGAATTCTCTTTCCCGCAATGGATACAGGCAGAAAATGTAATTTGGTTGGCTTTACCGATTCCAATTTTTGTGGAGATAAAGATGATCGAAAGTCTACAGCTGGATACATCTTTATGTTTGGTGGAACACCAATCTCATGGTGTTCAAAGAATGAACCGGTAGTTGCAATCTCATGGTGTTCCAATTGGATTCATTATGTGTGTGTCAAGCTGTGTGACTAATGAATCTATTGAAGGAGTTGGGCAACTGTTAGGATGAGGCTGTTACACTCTTGGTTGGCAATGTTTATGCTATTAATCTTGCTACAAACCCAATTTCACATGGGAGGAGCAAGCACATTGAGATGAAGTTTCACTACTTGAGGGAGCTTGTTAGCGAAAGCAAGTTAAGATTGGGATATTGTAGAAGTGAGGACCAAGTTGTTGATTTGTTGACTAAGGGAGTCACAAATAATGTGTTCAAGAGGTTGAAGAGGAACATAGACGTGGAGGACTTGGAGCACTTGAATTAAGGTGGTGTGTTAAGAGAAAATACGATAATTCAAGTACTATAACCGGTTAACACAGGGGTGTAATCAATTACAGCTTGGTGAAAAGCACTTATGGAAGGAGAAAAAACAATTTTGAGTTGGCGTTAACCAGTTACACATGTTTGTAGTTTTACATTTTATACCAGCTGTAACCGGTTAACAGATTTGTATTAACAGGTTATAGCCATGAGTTTTTATTTTTTGTGATTTTTGAATATAATATTTATATAAATATCTTGAAGACATCCTCATTAATAATGTAAATCATCATTTTCATCTTCAATTATCTCTCATTTTAATTCTCTCTCTCACTACCTCTTTCTCGAACATATTCTATAATTTATAATTGTATGTTTTAACAAGAATTGATATAACTATCACTTTTAAAAAGACCTCTTTTTTAAAATTTAAAAGTAAAAGGTTGAATATTTTATGGCACTAAAAAACCTTTAAATTCGATTTTTAATGCTTTTGTATTATTTTATTGACTTAAAAATAAAATTTTCGACAAAACTAATGCAAAATAAGACATATTCTTTTTTCCCAGAATATGTGTTACATAGCATAGACCCTAGCCATGTTATCAAACTTTACGTTTATATTTATAGCACATACTTTTAAATATTATACTTGCGTTTATATTTATAGTACATACTTTTAAATATTATACTTATATACTTTTAGAACTAGACATGTTCATTATTCGATCCCATGTGTTCATCTTTGTGAATATTATTATATTTCTACTAGTGCATGCATGTTTATCATAATATTTGTTTAACAAACATGTTTATCACAATTAAAATTAAATGGGAGACATATATAAACACCAATCTCGACGTTAGAACATGCACAACAAACACATAGACGCAGCTAGCAAAGTTAATCACCCTGGTTGGTTAGGATTTGTTATGGCGTTTATAGAGCGTAATGTGTCAAGTGATGGAAAGCGTGTGATGAGTCTGCAACAATTCAAGCAGTGGTTTAAGACATATTTCGACTCAAATGGCGACGGTCGGATCAGCAAAGATGAGCTCCGTGAGGTATTGAGGATCATCGGCGGAGTGTTTGCTTCGTGGAAGAGCAACAAGGTTTTGAAATCCGTTGATGATAACCATGACGGTTTCATTGATGATAAGGAGTTGGTTAACCTTGCACAATTTGCAGAAAAGCACTTCAACATAAGAATCACACTCTGAACGATATGACAGATCTTGAGCGAGACAGCATGAACGACAGCGCCCTTTCTGGAAAGTTTCAATGTTTTTGTTTATTATGTTTATTTAAATTGTTTTCTATGTAAGTTTGGATCTAATTGATTAACGCCATATATATTCAATATTAGAAAGTTTAAGAATTCATACTTATCTGATTTATTTATTTATATACAAAATTAATGTTTATATTTAAATGTTAAAATTAAAATTAAAATTTGAAGTGGGTTTTGGCATAAAAGTATTTGAGAATAAATTAATATAAATTGACATCACTCTAAAAAAATATACCTACCTATAATTATACTACTAGTACCCCATCCAGATTCAAAATACACCTCTTTTGAAAAAAAAACTTCACAATGCTCTAGATCATGTTCTAATTGTATTTCGATGGTTTCTGTCACATCTTTAGCCACACTTGACAATCTTACATAGGATCTAGTTGAGGAACCGTGGTCTCAATCTTGCGTTAGCATCAAAGTTTAGTGAAACATCTCCGAACTATTATCTTTATTTTCTTTAATCATTGTCTCTTATTTCATATTCTCCGCAAGATAATCTATGTGAATAAAAATGTTTAGCCTTATTTTTTTCGTCTTTGACTCTTAGTCTGTTATATACATAGTAGATTTTAATTTGCACCGGTGTATTAATTTAAAAAGAATCAAGATAATTATACATAATATAGATTACTACTAACATATAATTAGGATTGTTCATAAAAACGGTGAATTAAACTATAGCGTCGAACTTAACCGCACTAAAGTTAAAATAACTGAATTATTATGTTTAGTTAGTGAATCAAACAAATTACACAAACAGTTCTAGAACAGAACCATAGTGAAACCGCCTTGGCCGAACCATCATCTGGTGTAATGAAACATCAATGAAGTCGCCACCGAACGTCTTTTATCCCGCCGAAAGGGAAAGGTGAACATCGAGAAAACCTGAAGAGGGAGAAATCACGGTCTTTCGACCGAGAGATCGGGTAAGAGAGTCTGTTACGCGAGGGGAAGATATTAGCACCCCACACGCCCGTAGTACTCTACGTTATCCACTCTTGTTGTCTAATCTAATGGGTGTGGTCAAAACCTATGTCTATGGCTTAAAACTAAAAAGGGAATGCATGCGAAAGAAAAAAAAGAAAAAAATGTAGGGAAAATAAAAGTTGTGCTCGGTTGAACCCTACCCCAATGCCTACGTATCCCTTTTAAGGAATCAGAGCAGTCGTAGTTCGGCTCATATATTCTGATCGGTTTGTGTTTTTTATTTAAGACAACAAAAACAGTTAAGATGGAAAAACATCAAATAAGACAACAAAACAATGAGATGGTAAAACAACGGCTAAATAATAACATAGTAACATGTCAAAGATGACGAAACATCAAATGATAAAACATCACACCTAACTATGACAGTGGGAGTCAAACTAGGATAACCAACATGTGCGATGGCGAAACATCGATAAACCGGATGGCAAAACATCACACCTAACAATGATATTGAGAATCAAAGTAGGATAACAAACATGTGCGATGGCAAAACATCACATCTAACAATGATATTGAGAATTAAAGTAGGATAACAAACATGTGCGATGGCGAAACATCGATAAACCGGATGGCAAAACATCACACCTAACAATGATATTGAGAATCAAAGTAGGATAACAAACATGTGCGATGGCGAAACATCGGCTTCAAACAAATGTGCGATGGAGAAACATCGGCTAAAAGATAACAAGGTATCATGGCAAGGATGGCGAAACATCAATAAATCGGATGACAAAACATCACACCTAACAATGATATTGAGAATCAAAGTTGGATAACAAACATGTGCGATGGAGAAACATCGGCTTCAAACAAATGTGCGATGGCGAAACATCGGCTAAAAGATAACAAGGTATCATGGCAAAGATGGCGAAACATCGATAAACCGAATGGAAAAATATCACACCTAACAATGATATTGAGAATCAAAGTTGGATAACAAACATGTGCGATGGCGAAACATCGGCTTCAAACAAATGTGCGATGGCGAAACATCGGCTAAAAGATAACAAGGTATCATGGCAAAGATGACGAAACATCGATAAACCGGATGGCAAAACATCACACCTAACAATGATATTGAGAATCAAAGTTGGATAACAAACATGTGCGATGGAGAAACATCGGCTTCAAACAAATGTGCGATGGCGAAACATCGGCAAACCAGGTTTAAAAACAAAACCAAGAGGCGCATAAACAAATAAGATTGATTTGTATCTTTTACCTTGAAGAAGGGTTTGAGTTTATTAGAGGTGTTTTATGATTTGCCAAGAAAACAATTTTTGTTTTAAGATGCAAAATGCAAAGGAAGAAGAAGAAAAAACTGAGATAAACTAGCCTAGCACTATCCCTAGTGTTATCATACAATGATTGACCCTAAAGTTAAGGATAAAGGAAGATCCTACCTTATGCTAGCATACATGTATTCCTACCTTAATTAACATGTCAAAGGAAGCTTAACAAAACTATCCTATAGGGAACAGGCAATGAGAGCGAAGTCGTGATCTCAATTTCTAAATTGAGTGACTCATCGATCAACAATTAAAGAAAAAAAAACAATAAACATCCTATGGGGAACATGCACTGAGAGCGAAGTCGTGATCTCAATTTCTAAATTAAGTGACTCATCGATCAACAATTAAAGAAAAAAAAACACAACACATGTGTCAAACAAAACAGAGGGCCTCCTGACATATATCAGCAACAGAGGTCCCATCATGCAACATAAAACTATGCAAAAATGAAAATAGAAGAAAGGAAATAGCACAATACCAAACGGATAACTATCCGTAGCAACTGAACAAGAATAAAAGAAACCCAGAGAACTTCAAGCAAGCTGGCATCAACAGACAAATCAAGTCAGAAATTACGCCATCAGGATGTAAGTATTGAGATTTTCAGATATGAGCAGACCTCATGGGCAATGTATAACATTCATAATCATATATATATATATATATATATATATATATATATATATATATATATATATATATATATATATATATATATATATATATATATATATATATATATATATATATATATATATATATATATATATATATATATATATATATATATATATATATATATATATATATATATATATATATATATATATATCCTGCATAGACTATCAAATATGCCAAGCACAAGAGTAGTATCAATAAAATAAATTGTGTTTCACAAATAAAGTGAAACATAGTAGTCTCAAGTCAAAAATGGAAAACTTTCCTCAAAGTACCTCGCACATTCAACAGCCAAATTAGTATTCCCATAAATTGAATGATGACTCACATAAGGGATGGATGATGACACCATAATGAAGTGAGGAAACATGATAGCAACTATCAAAATAATAAATATGATAGACAAAAAGAAACAGACATATGCACAATTAGGTCAAAAGCTAGAGGAATGTTGTTCCTTTCTATCACCATATTAAATTGACAATTGAATATCAATCAAGGATCATGGGAGCTTGAGAAGAATACAATCAAAGACCATGAAGGTCAGTAGAAACCACAATTCAATCATACTCAATTACTTCATCACAGCTCACAAGCATAATAGAAGAGGAATCCCACACAATGCATCAAAAGGTTCAATCATTCAAATATGGGGAACTAAATGAAATGACTTGAGTTTATATGGATAAACAGAACCAACATGATAATTAGGTACCCAATTATAGGCCTCACTCAAGTTCATTGGCCATCAAGCAAATTGCAACAAGATATGCAATATTAATTGGGTACCTTCACTTCAAAAATACATCAAAAATAGAAAACGATTTCAATAATTCAAACCAAAATTTCCATAACATATTTGAAATGTGTATAGGTCAGAAAACAAGTTTGAAGTTCATGGATAGTAGAGGAGAGGATCTAATGAGGCCCAAAGATCATAACTAGTTGGCAAAACTACCAAACTAGACAAGCTTTCAAAATAATTTGTGGAAAAATATTCAATCAAGACAAATAATTCAAGAAAAATGGTTTTCAGATCCTCAATACATCCATGAACCTTAAACAAGATTCAAATTCCAATGGAAATCCAAGGCATAATGGTTTTGAAATTGAAACTTGCAATGTAAGCTACAAAACCCTAATTGTTTGAATTTTAATCTTAAATATTGATTACTTAAGATCAAAATTCAAACAATTCAAACCAAGATCATGCAAGTCACAAGGAAACCCTAAATATCGGAATACATAGTTTTTCACATTTTTAGGATTAAAGAAAAGTCAAAAATAAAATCAAAATTCAAACCATTAATCAATTAAACAAATAATCACATCTCAAAATAAAATTCTAATAAAAAATCATAAAAATATCCAACCAAAATTATATTTAAATATTAGAATTAAAAACACACATCCCTGATTTTTTTTGTGAAATTTTTGAATTAAAGGAAATATTAAAATAAAAATCAAACAAACAATTAAACAATTAAACTATTATTTAATGACAAAAATGCAAACCCTAGCCAAAATCATAAAAAGGTCAAAACAAAATTATATTCAAACACTATGATTAAAAAAAAACTTATATGATTTTTTTAAGGATTTTTGAATTAAAGGAATTATTAAAAAAAAATTATGAATCAAACATTTCAAATAAACTTCTCAAATTAAATTTTTAATCAAAAATAGAAAAAATACTAAATCAAAGTCAGAATCAATTTCTAAATGATTTTATGAGTCAAAGATAATTTTTGTGGAATTTTTAGATCCAAAAAACTATTAAAATAAAAATAATCTTTGAACAAGCAATTAATTAAACTTATGAAATTTTAAACCAATCAAAACATTTTTAAAAATTCCAATAAAATTATACAAGATATTAGAAATTATTTTGGACTTGTGGTAATTTTTTCAGAATGTTTTAAATTGTTTTGATCAAGTAACAAAAATCAGAAAATCA